TTTCACCACGTTCTTTTGGGAGGGAGCACAGCTGTCTAGACCTACTCCCCCTCCTCGTGATGCCACAGATCTCACTCCAGAAGGAGGATGGGAAGAGCAATAGACCATGTTTTCCAGGTGCTTTGGGAGAAAACTTCCTTGTTGCTTCTAAATGACAGGGCATGAGTTCTCTGATAATCCACGTGCACTTTTTAATGGTGGGTCTTGAAGAATTCCACTCACTGGTAAATAGAAAACCGTTTTGCCAAAGCAGGTTTTGGTAGATAAAACCTAGTGACAAATATAAAATCGGTTATATTATGTGAAAAAGGGAAGTAGATGGGTGTGATTAAGAATAACTTGATACAGGAAACCCTGAAGGTTCTCTGACTAAGTGAAACCAAATCTGCGCTGATGCAAGTTAATCCCACTGGAATCAGCCACTTCTAACACTCAATTATAGAGCATTGTCAGCTCATATGCCTCTTCTTTGAGGAGATATTTTGATATCCCCTTGCTCTTACTGACTGACCTCATGCTATCAGTTCACACTTTATTATTTTTTTTTTCTCCCTTCTACTTTTAGGCTGAAGGTTGAGGTGTGCATAAACACTTGCTGGATTTGTTTTGAGAGTAAGGTGCTTAAAACTTTCATTTTAATTTGAGCAGATTAAAGTTGCATGAAAAAAATGATACAAGGTAATAGCATTCTACATGGAATTTCAAGGGTTTGGAGCATAGGACCTCACCCTCTTTTCCTTTTGCCCCCAGGATGGGCGGCTGTTCCTTCCAGTATTGCAAAGGATCCTTCTCCGTTTTTCTTTTTTTCCCTTCCCCCCCTCCCCTGTTTTCTTAAATGGGGATGTGAAAATATAATAAGAGCAGCCAAATATTTTAGCAGAAAATGTTGAAATTAGGATTAATATTTTTCACGGAATAGATGGATAAAAGCATCCCTAGCATCTTGTACTTCTGGTACGCTGTAATACACTCAGCTGGATTGTTTTCAGGAGTTGTTTACTCGAACAGAATGTGGATGAGGTGACAGCAGATACACTTTTTTTCCTTTATTTTAACATGGGAGAAAGGCCGATCCATGGGCTCACGAGCTGCTGCCTCTGTGATACGTCATCTTAGCCAAGAGGATGATGATGACTTCATTCAAGGTCTAGTATGCTTATCTTACCCATTGCATCGACCAAAACTCCAGTCCAAGCTCCGGGATGAAGATTTATTGTTTATCAGGTGTCCAGTGCTGTTTGTCTCAGGATCAGCAGATGAGATGTGTGAAAAAGTGAGTACCCTTGTAAATCCGGCTGTGAAGGGGTAGTATGGAGGAACAGGAATGAGTCTGAGTGACATCTGTACTGATACACACAGCTGTGGCTTTGATTAACAGCCTTCTCTAAATACATATATTTATCTTCTAAACGGAAGCCTTGGGTCGGAAACTTCACTGGACATGAAGAAGCCTGGGGGTGCTTCATTTTGCTGCTTAAATCTTCTGGATCTTGCTTGATCATCCACTTCAGCAAACTCATCTTTGGGCCACTAAAATACTACTAATTTAAATGTTTTGTAGTTTTTGATATGATTGTACAAATTAAAAGAGGCCTATGGAAGAACCAAGTTATTTGCTATTTGGTTTTAACCATGTCAGGTGACAAAACGTAAACACTGTGCTGTATGACCAATTTCACATTCATTGCGCTTTCATGACAAATTCTTCTAGCAAAGCAGTTCTACCCTCAAATCGGACTTCTTTGGTAGAAAGTGCTATTTTTGTGGAGATGAAGAACGGGTGTGCAGAGGTGGGACTATAGTGGTTTCCTGCCTTGTTTTCTTGCAAAGTAGTTAGATATCTGTTGTTCTTGAACTGTTGAGCTTGAATTTGGGACTGCGTGCAATTGGCATTTTCTATGCTTAGACAGTTTCTAAGGAGTCATAATGCTTCCGTGAGGAGTCGTCACCAAAAGAAGTCAGGCTAGCAACCAGCAGATCCCTGGAGTGCCCTCTTTACAGGGAAATCTTTAAGACTTTCTGAGCTGGTTCTTAGATCTGTTTGCTGAGAAAGCTGAACAGAGTCAAAGCCAGTCTCTAGGGAATTATATGGCTGCTCTGCCACTGTAGACAACTCTGACGTAAGAAGTTTTGCCATTTTATTGCTAGTGCTACCCTCTGGCTGTGAAAGTGGATTCTTTTGTCCTTCCCCCTTTGTGGGGAAGGAGCCTGCACAGGGCTGTGACCTTTGCAGTTTTTTAAGTTTTAATTTTCTATTATTTTGTGTTTTAAGTGAGGGCTAACCTTTGAGGAAATTCCATTGCTGAACGCAGTGTGATCACGACTTTTCCATCAAGGTGTTTTTAATGTGCACGCAGATCCATTTCATTTTTAAGAGCTGCCTGTTATGTGTTGCACAAGCAAAGCAAGAGACATCTACGAGTTGCGCACTTTGTAGCAGCTGATTCTCTGACTTTTTCATTCTTGTTTTCTCCACAGCAATTGCTAGAAGGTGTGGCAAGCAAAATGAAAGCCCCTAAAAAAATCCATTGGATTGATAAAGCAAACCATGGGATGGCAGTCAAAGGACGAATGATAGACGATGTCATGGAAGAAATAAATGCACAAGTTTTTTCTTGGCTTAGAGAGAACGTTGAACTGGAGCACAAATGATTTGCAGTGTTTAAGCAGCATCTTCATTTAGTTGTTCCTAAATGCAGCAAATGCAGAGTTTGTTATTTCCAAGAGACATTTTTTAAAACAGTTATTTTCAGAGGTCTGAGTATAAATGCAAGTAAAACATTTTTCTGTGAATCAAAAATGTTATGCAAAACAATAAAGAATTTTTTAAAGGAAGGACAGAAAATTTACCAAATATTTAATACCATGGCAGCACTGTTTTCTGTGTTTCTATGCAAATAACTGTATAGAACACTCAGTGCTCTGCATTAACACGGGAATGCTTTTGACTGGTATTTGAAGTAATATATTGGAGAGAATCTATTTTGACAGCAAATCTTTAGATGCGTTTCATTTCTGAGTATATTACTGATGCTGTACTAGTTTGAAATTTGTAGAATTCTGTGGTAATTTGTGGAATTCTGGATCTCATCCGCGGAGGCTGGCCAGCACAGATTGTACTACCTTGGTGCTGCATTCTGGCACTCCAGTGTGCTTCAAAACCAGTGATGTAGGGAGAGGAATCTGTCATCATTTATGATGTCACTCCCCTGAGGAGCCAGATTCTCGGCCAGGGTGGGGAGGAGGAGGGTAGTGCCGGCATGGTGCTGCATGGGGAGCAAAGAACATGGGTCGGTTTTGAAAAGTCACCCTCCAGCAACTTTCCTTGCATAAAGGACTTGTCGCAGAGACCCTTTGAAAACATGGGCGTGGAAGGCTCTTAAATGAAAACCGATAAAAGACAAATGATGTTTATACTGGTGGAGGGACTCCTGGAGGAGGAAGCAGTTGGGACATGTTGCAAAGGGCTTCTGTTAGGAGGGCTCAGAAGAGGGAGGTTGGGGTCTGGAGCTCATTACCCATTAGCAGAAGGAACTCAGGTCTTCAACCAAGTGGATGAAATACTTCTTGTGTGCTTGCAGCTGCAGCCATCCCCATTATGGGCTATGAGTCACCTGTTGGTATAACCAAAGGTTATAGCAATCTATTAATTGCTTCCAGCCAAGTCATCAGCAAGTATCAGCTGAATGATGACCCCTGAGACCTGATGTCCCCTGAGATGAAATGGCTGGTTGGTCCTGAGAAAAGCATCTTGGCATTGTCTCTGGAGGTGGTGGTCTCATCTCCACTGCCACCAGTTCCCTAAAACCTGCTCTGGTCATTCTGCATCTTTATGGCTTGGAGCTTGCTGCGGTGGTGCGACCAGCTGAACGTGAGCAAACAGCTTTAGCCTGGAGGTTGTTCTTGGGAGGAACTGTTGTGTGTGACAGTGCAGAGCTGCTTAAGTGGCCTTTGAGTCAGACCCAGCGAGTTGAGAGGATTTGTGTGATGTTTTGGTCTGGTGCTTAGACCAGATAGCTTTTTAAAAGTCAGATACAGTATTCTCCTGTTGTTTCTCACAAGATGCCTCAAGAATGCTGATCTCCCAGCAGTAATGTTGTTCAATAAAGATAGCAAACATCTACATGTTTGCTAAAAAAACAACCATGTGGTTTTTAAATTGACTGGTTGCGTTACAGAGCAAATAAATCCTCACTTTGGACTGGAAACGTGCTAACTTTAGAATCTGATGAGTGTAGACTTGACTTTAAATCCACCTACGGATCACTTTCAGATTATGTCGATAAGCTCAAAAGTAACAGTCGAATTACTTACTATCAGTGGAAAGCAGGTATTATAAAAACAGACTAGACTGTTGGAACACTGATTGGTTTAGTTTCAGTAGTTACTGTTCAATGCTACTTAATTCTTTTACATATTGCCAAAGAGACTGAGTTTCACAGACAAAGCATCTATGAGAATCGTATGGAACTTAAATCTAATAAAGTGTCCAATAGCACTGTGTTTTCCCTTCAGGTTAAAAAGATATATTATAAAACTCACATTGTTGTCTTTGAGAATACTGATTCTCTCAGAAGGAACAAAGTTATAGTCTGAAAAAGATGGCTTTCGATAAATACATGGTGTTGGGGGGGTAGCTTTACAATTCTTATCTGCCCTTTTTTACAGAACACATCTCAGTATAATAAGCACAAACACGAATAAAAAGTATCTGTGTTTCCAAGGTATCTCAGGACAGCAACACGACTGATACAAACATGTTTTTTATTTAAAAAAAAAGAATTATAAAAATGTTTTTGAACAAGGCTCTGCAACCACTGCATGATAAAAAGGAAATAGGGGGTGCTTGCTTTTTCTTCCACATGTAGATCATGACACAGTAAACTTCATAATATCCACTGACATTATCCATTGGCATTTTAATCCAAGCTTTCTTCTTGCCTTAAGAAGACAGTCTGAATGTAGGTAGATATTAAAAAAAGTTTGGTGTTTTTTTTCTATCAGAGTTCATCTTTGGCCTGCAGTCAAGAAAGAAGAAACATTTTTCAGTTAATTGGAAATTCAGTTTTTAACTGTCTAGTCCTGCAAATATATGAAGAAATGTTTCTAAGTTGGACAGGTGTTAATGGTCTGGTAACTGATACTGTGGGGTATTGAGCAATGGCTGTTCCAATTTAGTTGAGTAAGAACTGAAGACATCCAACACTTCACATTTAATGCTGTATGCACTGTACCTTTTTTCTGTGGCAAGTACATGGAAAAAGGTCATCATCAGGCTGCGGCACTTTCTCCATCCCATCTCTGATTTTTGGCTCGCTCACTTGCAAGCTGGCATATTCCTAGTTTTAAAAAAAGGAAGGTATCGTTAATTCATAAACTTGTTAGATTGTACACCTGGTTGTAAACACTGCACCAACTCAGCTGAGTAATTCTGTAAAAACTCTGGGGCTACACAATCTGTTATTCCAGGCTGTGTCCCAGGCAGGGTAAGCAGATGATACTTAACTGCTGACAGGAGCCCCTTCGGGTGCCTCACTGGAGTTTCGATATCTTGGTGCTAATGCACAGATATTTTCAGCTGTGGTTCACAGGGTGTGTGTCTGATGTAGAATTCATTGATCATTGTGGGCAACATATTCTTGCAGATTAGATCAAGATTTATGGGATCCGATTGCTTCTCTCAACGCGCCAGCATAGTCTTAAGGGGTTTCATAGGAAATAACTGCACGCAATGTTTGTAAACCAGCTGAAGTTCTTAATCGCTGCTGTTTGCTTTGTGGCTTCAAGTACCAGTCTGGCCTATTTCCAGCAGCTCCGTTGCCCTGATTTTTTTCTGTGGGATTTCTACTTTTGTGGTAGTAGCCATTAAAAATATACTAACCTGGAAAAGTTTGAAATAGTAACAAAAAATGTGATCTCCCATGAGATTGTTTCTTGCAAATTCTTGTCCAGATTTTGCAATATTTTTTGCCTGTCAAAGAAAATAAAAGGGTTTTTTCAATTCTCAAAAAATAGTAGTTATTTCAGGATGCCAGCATTGATTCTGGAGTTAAGTATAGCGTTGACAGTTCAGGGTAACTTACTTATTTTTATTTAAGGATTCTTAAAAGTAAGGCATTCTAATGAAAATACTCTTAATTTTTCCAAAGTTCAACTTAATTTCAGATTAAGGGCAGTATTATGTATTTTTTAAAAAGTGTTTTCTTATTTGTAGAGTTGATGACAATAACTTTTAAATCCTTCCAATAGATTTTTTTGTTTGTTTTAAAGAAATGCACTTTTTGCTCTATTTAGTCTAGAAATACTGCCGAGTACTTCTAAATGTATATTTACCTCTTCATCGTGCTCTTTGGCCCACTGCAGTTTTTCTAGTAGATCACTCAGGTCACTTTTAAATGGAATATAATGTTTCCATGGCTGCAGCTCGTTATAAAAATGCTCATAATAGATGGAGTCTTGCTTTAGCACCACACTGTTTCCTGCTAGTAGATAAGGCAATCTGTATGCTGCCACTGTGCCATCAATATTAATTTGATATTTATACTGGAAAGAAAATGACCACAGGTTATTAACAAACAGAAGGTCCAAGTAGCTTGGTTAAGTTATATTATTCTGAGGGCACTGGTATTACTGACTTGTCGATATTGAGAAATGTAGGATTGGTTAGGCAAGCATCAATGTTTAAGTAGCTTTTATTATTTAGTTTGGAATTCATCACAGTGCAGGGTACAGAGAGATGCCCTCTTCATCAATTAAGTTCTCCGGAAATTCTTAGACGCTCATCCTCGGATGTAAGGGTAGATGTGCCACTTCATCCACTGATTTTCCCACTATGTTAGTTATGTTAGTAGACCTGATCGCTGAATCAGGAAAAAGAAATAAAAAGGAACTTGGAGTTATACAGATTACACAAGGTTCTACAGAACCTTTAGATGTAAATAAAACATTGTTATCTGCAGCGCTAGAGCTACATAGCAGTTAATCCCACTGGAAGGGATACCTATTCATGCTTGCTACTGGTGTTGTGCTGAAAAACTAAAAATCACTTTATTATCAATAATATATACAAAGTTATTTGATAACGGGAAACACTGAAGAACCTAGTTCTATGAAAAATGGGTTAGTGGCTTACCTTAAAAAAATCAAAAAATGAAATATGCTTAACAATGGGGCCATAGAGACTTTCATCGTGTTTGAAAAAAAAGAAGTTTGTGAAAGCAGCATCTATGATCTCTGGGTATTTTCTGCTCAGTTTTACAAGTTCAAGCCTCTCTTTGCGGCTGTCACGTCCTCTCCAGAATGCTGTGGTATTCTTGTCTTCCCATGATGGGCCAGTATTTGCTTGAACTGACATCATATCCAGACTGACTCTGGAGGAGAAAGAAGGGATTTAATAGTGAAGCCTACAGGAAATTTCTTTAAGTACAATTACTTAAAAAGAGTTTACAGTACAAATAAGCAAATACCAAGGATGAAGGTAAGTCATGAGCACACTCATATATGTATTGTTTCGGTATTTTTGCAGCGATAAAAATAGATCAGGAATGTCAGCTCACAGGCCTGTGGCCAGACAGCATCCGTTCAACGACAACATGGTGTGTGGAAAGAGTACCTGTCAGTTGTCATGGAAAAAAGTGGCTAAATGTGGTTATGACGGATGAAGGTGATGATACAGGGTAATACAGTAGCTGATAATGGTGATGAGGCAGTCCCGATAGTCCAAAGCAAGGTTTTTAGGTAGCTAGCTTAATACAACATATTTGACTTCCTTTGCTAAATAAAAACATGTAAACTGGGGGGGACAGGGGAGAGCAAATTTAGGAAAAGTCTTGATAATAAAGACAAGGGACCTCAACTGCATGCAGTGAAATGATAAACAGACTCAGTGGATAACAAAGATCTCTTAGAAACTGGCTTTGTAGTGTTTCAAGACAATGACAGAGCGTTTACTAAGGTCAGTTACCATCAGTAATCAAAGTGGGAGATGGTAGGTCCTAGGTTGAGAATTCTGGCTACGTTTGGCTTTAAAAGGTACACAAAAAAGATTCTAGGAAAATCAGGAAAAAAGAGGCCTGGCCAGTTATCAACATATTCATGGGGGGGGAAACAAAGCAAACAAAATACCTACCCTCGAAACATTCCCTCTAAGTGCTATTTTCAGTGACTTCTCCATCTTTACATTGATTTTGATTTTTGAAATGAAACAGTGAAGTATTTTAGTGTATGTTATTTATGTTATATAATACATAACTTGATTAATGGTAAGATATTGATTACACAGTTACTGCCTACCTCTCGGGTGCCAATGCCTCAATGAACAAATAAAGAGTAAACCAGTTAATATACTGTTAATATAAATATCTTTTTGGAATATAATTCACTGTGAACTTTGTGAAAATTTTAAGCAGCTTCTTACCGTCCCATAGTCTCCAAAACTGAGTCTGTTAAGTCATATGTTGGCATGACAATGTCTTTTGACTCGCTGGACCCACACCATGAGAAGATGGGGTGCAGGTTCTGTGGGGGCTTCTTTTTCTCCAGAGGCCAGTCCCCCAAATTAACAAAAAATTCTACATCTGGCATTTTCACCTAAACAGAAGCAAAGTAGGCACAAGTGCATTTTAATACAAAGCAGTATTCTTCTGCTGGCATCCTGCATTTTGAAAACAACTTCACTAAGAGAAAAAATAGCCAGGTCTCTAATATACTTAATGTACCTGTAATAAATCGTTAAAATTTAGAAACATGTTAGAAGTACTGAGACCACAGAGTAAAGCCTACAAGATATTATTATTATTTTACAAAAGATTTGCACAAAGTCATATAAATGCACTCTCTTTTTTTTAAGGGCTAGGACCACCCCAGTTTAGAGGACGGTTTCTTGTTATGCATTACATGGTCAGTCATGCAATCTTTGTACCAGGCTAGCACTGGGATCCAGTAAGCAATCATATAGTTCCAAGGTAAGTTAAACCACCTTGTTGTCTGTATGGAAAATTGCTGTTGGGTGGTAAATTAGTTTTCTGTCACATCAGTGAACTGATTTGCCCTGTGTCTGCATGATGACTAAATCCAACAGAAGAGAAGTAACAGAAATGAACAGCCATGATGGGAAGACCACATTTAGTCAGTACCGGGGTTAATTATTAAGCATAACATCCTCACTTTTTTTTTTTATTTTTTAAATTGTTGCTAGTATGGAACCATATCTGAAATCACTGTCACAGCCAAAAAACCAAGCAAAATACTGTTGATGCCAGGAAATGTTATAACAGCAAGACATAGGGCATAATTTTGCTGCTATATGAAACTTCGATGCACCCTCATCTTAAGCATTATGCGTGGTTCTAGTATTTGCAAAGTGAAGTAAGAGAAGTTACAATGAAAGGCAGCTACTATGATAGGGATGGACCAGCTGCCTTGTGAGGAGAAACTGAAAATGGTGGGAGACTTCAATTTCAAGAGCAGAAGGCGGAAGGCAACATATGGTTGAGTTTTACATGCCCCGAAGGCATGTATAATGTCAGTGCAGAACTGATGCTGTGTCTGTTCTTAGTTCACCCTCCTCATGACATTGATTTTTTTTTAAATATAAATCTCCACTACACCCACCTTAGTTGCCTCTTTCACAACAAAAGAATCATACAAATTAGCTTGTCTTTGCGTGCCCGAACGGTCTTCTTGCTGTGTAGTTCTTTTTGAGAAAGTGAAACGAGAACTGCACCATCTTCACAAGATAGGCATGTTACAGGTTTTATACTGTCACATAATCCTTTTTTCTTTTGTTTTTGTCTCCCTCCTTAGTAAGTCTTAATGGGTATTTGACTATTATGAACATCTGATTATTATACTGGCATTTTTGGAAAAGCATTGGAATAACTCCAGGATCTCGGTCCTGACTACTAACAGATAATTTAGAGATCATGATTGTATATGCATGATTAGGACACTTTTTTCAAGTGTTATCATGAACTATCTTAATATCTACATAAGAAAATGTCTTCTCTGAAAAAAGAACAATTATGAATGTTAATAATTCTCAAATGAAAATATACATACACACATAAAAATAGAACTTAGACATATTGCTGATCCCCCATCATATATATATGTCACAGCATTTCTCCTCTCAAATCTCTTTATTCTTCAGATCAGAATGGGTGGTCACAAGCTAACATTTCAGGATTCTTCTGAGGCCCAAATAGGTTTCATTAAGTTTCTAATTTAATTTATCTTTATGGACAGAGACAGAAATTAATAATTTGCTAAAGTCTTCTCTAACTTGATGATGCGGGAAAGCCTTTGGCAGAGACATCCCGAAATTCTAAAGACAGAGAGACCCAAAGCAGTACTTTTTGTCTTCAGTATATGACAGAAAAAGTTTTACTGTGTACCTTCATTTCAAAGGGGGTTTGGCTACATGTACTAATCTTCAGCACTAAACTTTATTAGTACAGTGCCACCTACTGGTTATAATGGACATAGAAAAGTTACAAATTACATTTTATCGACATCCTCAATGGCAGAATCATTCAACAGGTTAAAGATCTATTGGGTTGGAGAAGATTATTTGGTTATAATGGACATAGAAAAGCTACAAATTACATTTTATCGACATCCTCGATGGCAGAATCATTCAACAGGTTAAATAATCTTCTCCAACCCAATAGATCTTTCAGTGACACTGTCTTAATAGAAATTCTTGCAGTATTTAATGGGGATGAAACAAATTGCGTTTTCTAGATCTGTAAACAGTTTCTGTCTTTGGAGTTAGCAAACCTTTTCCAACATTTAGCCTTTGATGCAATTTAATTATGTTATTTCTCATCCAACACTACTGACACTGAGAACAGTTTACTTCCATCTTTCATGGAGCAACCTTTTAGATAATTAAAGGCTCCATTCATGTCTTCCCTTAGACACTGTTAGGTGAAACAATCCCCACTTGAATGACCTTCATTTGTATGTCTAGTCATTCTCACCACTTTCCTGTGCAATGTCAGTAATTGAACAATCTTCCTTGAAGCATGACACCCATGCAGACCCAGTAGCATAACCGACCCATTAGTAATCCTGAGTATAGTGGAAAGGTTACTTTACATTTCTTTCATGTGTTTGTTCTGTTAATGTGCGTGTTTAGCTTTTCGCAACAGCATGCTGCTGTTGAGTCGTTACATTTGCGGTACTGTAACCTTCACACGTTTCTGCAGAAAATAACCATTCACTCCTTGTTTTAAACAGGTGTCATAACTATATGGCTGGTCCAGCCTTTGTACAGTATCCTGCCCTTGTCACTTTATTTTATCCATTTTCCATACAATTTCTCTTATTTGTTAAGAAAAATTTTAATTATGATGCTGTACTGTGAGGTGCTTGCAGGCTATTTCATTTTTGTTATCTGAAAATTCAATAAGCATATTCTCTAAGTCCATCATTCTGTCAAGTTATTAAATGGGAACTGAACCTAGGACAAATCACCGAAGAATACATTTGTTACACCTTTCCCCTCTCTGGAAACATTGTCAACTATTATTTAACTAAGGCTTTCCAAGCAGGTTACAGTAGTTTCTTCCAGGCAAAGTCTTCCTAACTTGTTTGTGAGAAACTTGTGAGACTTACCCTCAAAAGCCTAACTAAAATTAAGATACTTGACATCCATACAGGAAGTCTATTATCTTGCTATAAATTATATAGTTATGACTTATTTTTCTGATAAAGCCATGTTTCTTCATACCAATTACCATATCTTTCAGCTACTTATAAATAATGTATTCATTTTTTATCAGATTTTTAAGGATTTTTTTTTGGTAAATAACTCCATACTTCAGTAGACCCTCTCTCTTCTTTCTTTCCTTTTTAAAAGACAAAGCGCTTTATCTTTTTCAGTCAAAAATGGATATTAACTTGGATATCTTCGTATTTCTCTTACTACACTCCTTATGTAATAATCAGACATTGTGTGTGCTGAAACTTCCGCCCTGCTATATTCTGCCACTATGTACATAATGTCTTTTTTTTTTTTTTTCAGAGTTTCCCTGTGGAAGAGTCTGCACGGTCTTGCTTGTACATATGCCACCTGCTGGGCTTTTGGTGCTCTTTCTCAACCCTTCCTGTCTTGTTTTCAACATACGGAATTTAATGGAGAACAATATAATTTTCCTATTTTTTCAGTCGTCCTGTAAAAAGTACTAGCAGAGACAGAATTTTCTATTAGATGCTACAAGATGATTTATTTAGTCTATAGGGAAAAAAAAACCCACACTGTCCAAATCTATCAATCAAACTCCCCTAAAAACACTTGCTATTCAATTTATGTTTGTGATACTCCATACACTGAACTCCCCTATAAATGCTTGCTATTCATTTTATGTTTGTGATACTCCATACACTGAGCAGACAGCATTCTAGAACATGCCAACTTCAAACAAGGAAAATCCATCTAACCTTTCCATTATTAATCAAAGAAAATTAAGGGTTTTTTTCAGAAATAGCAACAAATATGCTGAAGTATATTTGTTAAGCCCAGGCTTCTATAAATTAGGACATATAGAATAAATGACTGTACAGATGTACTCACTTTTCTTGTCAAAGAAAGCAGTATGGCATCCATGAAAATTCTGAAGCCAACATGTTCCCCATACGTCTTTATATAAACCTGAAAATAAACACAGGTTTTACTGGTCTAGTGTTTTCATTTCAGAGAACGGCCGGCACAATTTAGAGCTCTTTTTATCACTTAGTAAGTAACTAGTCAGACAGATTGTGCAGCTGTATAGATTTATGGATCAGCTGGGAAGCTTTAGAAATCTCATGTCTCAAACTCATCACAGAAAGGTGACCAAAAAAAAAAAGACAAGCTTTTGCAGATGTTTTAGGTTTGTCTCATGGAAACAGAAACTGGATGCCGGTTTCCGTTGTGTTCCATTGTTCTCATTTCCATATGAAACTCTACTGAAGTCAGTACAGTTTTGTTAAAAAGAGTTGTAGCTCTGATCCTTAGTGGAGCCAAGTGGTACTTCTTTACTGCAGAATTATGCGCAACATAATTTATTGATGCATGTCAAATTAGATGATCGTGACACTCCACAACAATATTACTCAGAGAACAGGAAACTGAATTAGCATTTAGGAGACTTGGGTCTGTGCGCAGTACTCATATTGATTGCTTGGAAAGTAACTTGCCTTCACTGTGCTTCAGTTGTAACGTGTACAAAAAGCCCTTTACAAAGCAGGACAGACACTACTGAGCTCATATACAAACTGCAAAGTGTTCAAGGACAGAGAAGCAAGCAATGGAAGTTTCTTAAAGGCAAGAAGCCTTTCAACTGGGAAGAGGCAAGCAAATGCCTTGCCATCAAATGCCCGTATGGAGTTCAGATCAACCCATTCCGTACCTCATTATCTTTGATGGTGTAATGACACAAACTCTGTCTTTGTCCAAACCTCTGTGGAATTTCTTTTGCAATCTTATCTGGATCAACAGTGGGAAAATTTGCTAGATCTCTTTGAATCTGTGGAATGATTTGAGGGCAGTTCATCTCTTCCAGCCATGCACTGCTCTCCTCCTGAGGGCAGTCACAGTTTTCATGGTAAATAGGTCCTATCAGGAACACAATTATTATTTTATTTTTAGTAAGTCATACTATTGAGCTGTTGAGATCAGAAAAGAGCAGGCATTGAGCATTGGTTGCTTAGAGGCAAACCTTCAGCAACTCTAAATGGACATGTTTGAAATCATTTTTTACTCTAATGGAGTCATGCCTAGTGACATAAACTTCTGTGTGAGCCCTCTACATGTATTTGCTAGGCAACAGCTTCACAGCATTTCTTTCTTTTTACTACTTTGAATAGTATGCGCAGGACATCTATAATGAATCCATAATTCCAATGGGATTTGCTAGTCCTAAGAACTACTGAGGTCCCACAGAATCCTACGGTAATCCTGGAACGCATTCTGGGACACAGTTTGTGAGAAAAAACCATGACAGGAAATCTGCATGGAGTGCTGCTTCTTACCCTTTAAAATGTATGGAGACTTTGCGACATGTTTCTCTCCAGTTTTGACTTCTATCTTCAGATTTTTGTAGCTTGCATACATCCTGTATCTCACAAGGAAGGAGCCATCTTTCCTGTCTAATACTTGCACACCAACCCGAGTGAACTGTTCATCAGGAGCAGTGATCTTCACCTGGAATGCATTTTCACCCGGTGATGAAGTGAACCTACCAAGAGAATAAGTGGGGAGCTCAATAAAAAAGGAATCACACAACATGTTTCTTATTCTGATCCATTCCTTTTCAAGTTGATTGATTTCCAGTGAGGTCTCTATGAGCACATCCTGATGTTCACAAGCAAGGCATGATTTTTTCCACAGATAATTTTGTTAGTCTACCTAAAACACCTCATGCTGTTAAAAGCATTGGGTATCAAGAAGGTTCCACTCAGATGCTCATGAGCACACCTCCAAAATGACTTGGTGCCATACATGTTGAACAGTGTTAGAAATATGTTCTTTGACTATATAGGAAAAGAGCACCTTTAAAAATCCAGCATAGCTCTTGATTAGTAGTAGCTCAAGTGTAAAATGATGGGAAGGTAAAAAGTGGATCTTGGTGTCCTGTCCTGTAGGGGCAGGACAAAAGTCAACGGTTTAGACTGAAATAAGGTAGATTTAGATTGGATATAAGGAAGAAATTCTTTACAACAAGGGTGGTGAGACACTGGAACAGGTTGCTCAGAGAAGCTGAGGATGCCCCATCCCTGGAAGTGTTCAGGGTTAGGCTGGATGGGGCTTTGAACAACTCGATCTATTGAAAGATGTCCCTGTCCGTGGCAGGGAGGTTGGACTAGATGATCTTTAAAAGTGTCTTCCAACCCAAACCATTCTATGATTCTATATAAAAAATACCAGAACAGCTTCACTTTAGCAGCTTAATAAGTCTGTTATTTTACATACAGAAGCAAAATTTTACCTGCTGACTTTATTTTCCAAGTATTATTTAAGGAAGTGAACAACAAAGTTAGACTTCTTAATCATTATGGTAGCTCATACAGGGGAAAAAAAAGGATAGTACAAATGCCAGTGGCTTGATAGGGGAAAAAAAACATTACAGTGCGATTGTGTAATTCAATGTGTAGTTATGACATTGTGGTAAAATTCACCATACACCAATCACAGAAAAATCTCCATAAAATCAAATAAAATAATATCAAAAATCATGAAGTTATCACACATAGATGTATTAACAATGTTGGCACAGTCAAAATGCTGCGTCTGCCAACTTTCTGTCACTTTTAAACACAGTCCCAACAGCTTGGGATAAAGAGAGAGGGGGTGGGAGTGGCTGGACTAACAGATTACAGCGCAGCAGTCTGGTCACCTTTCCTGAAACTTGTTCAGACAGAGAGCTGCCAGTTCAACTAAATACATGAAATAATTACTGTGCAAGATAAATTGAATGGGCAGCTTCAACTTGTGCGTTCCGTGGTGCATCTAATCTGCACAACCTGGATGGAGCACTCTGAGCTCCTATCCAGCTTGTAGGGTCAGGGTTTCTTTCCTGTAGACAATGCAAAGTCATGAGTGTCCTCTGAAATCTAAGTTTACCTATTTCACTCCTGTGAATTTTACTTCATGGTCTATATAGTACTTCCTAAATGCCTCTACTGATCTTGTGCCCGTGCATTTAGGAGAAATACTGATGTTCCTAACAGTGGAAACAAGCAAGACACCTGAGCAGGTATACAATAAATCAAATATATTAGTTATTGTTAAGGTTTTGACAAAGAAGAATAAATCATAAGTCGTTGGCTGGACCAATACACATGTTTTGCTGTTGAATGTTTTCATTGTCTTTTCTCATTGCTTTGTGCAGTTATTCGATACTCCTAAAAAGATTAATCAGCTTTTTCTAAGTGATACACAGAAAAAGTCACACAGGAAGCCTTCAGCACCCGTAGTTTCCCTTTCTGCAAGAAAATCCCCAGCATATTATACCTAAGAGGTGAAAGTGGTTCAGCCGGGTTACGGGCCTGCAAGGTCAGCCCTGCCGAGGATGGGGCACGCAGCCGTGCTGGCACTGCTGCCATTCAAGGCAGGGAGCAGGACGCTTCACCCCCTCACAAGAAATCCAGCAATTACGATTTGGACTCAGGGCCTGCAAATATTTAAGCGGCTGCCCGAGGTGGGGGATGTTGCACACCCACGCACCCGTGGGTGGGTGGTGATACCCGGGGGTGGTGATGCCGCCGCGCTTACCTCTGCCCTTCGGCGTCCACGGCCTGCACGTAAAAATAGCGGGCCGGGAGGGCAGCCTCCGCCCGCAGCCCGGGCCCCCATACCGCGCTGCGTTCGGGGCTCAGCCGGCCGCCCTCGCCC